GGCAATCACAATGGTGGGATCAAATTTTTTAATGTTTGCTGCACATAAAAACAGGTGAAGCTTCTATCTCCATCGATGTCTATTCTTTTTAATGCTTTGCAGATACCCCAAAGTGCTGTGCTGTAGCATAATCCCAATGATAGTCTTTGTTAGCTAATACGTTAAAGAATATATTTCGGTCTGCAGCTAGAATAGATGTTAAGATAATATCCCTACTGATGTAGTATTCAATAAAACACATATAAGGAAAGATCAATTATTCTTACTAGCAACTTTCTGTACTCAAACATAATTGGTGTGAGGCAATGTTTCCCTAGAAGAATGTGTAAATGAAATGAAATAATTATAGGAATAATAGTTTGGTGAAGAGTTAGATAAAACAATGTCTATGGATGTGTGAATGTGAATACAGGTAGTGTTGTGGCCTGCCAGTGGCGAGCAGAGCTGGCAGCAGATTCAGACAGTGAGAAAGTTGGAGAGGAACATGGTGTCAAGCCTGCAGTTATATCCCTTTTAGGATCTTTGGCCTGCCACACTTTCTCTTATTTCATTATGCTGTTTCATTAGTGTAGTAGTTGGGAGGGGGGAATAGAAAGGAGTAGGATTGTGGAATGTGTTGTTGTCATTCTTTTCTAGAAGCCCAAGGTCATCTTTTGTCTCCGCACCTCTGCACCGGACCAGAAGCAGCTGGGTGGAGATGCCAGTGTGGAAGAAGAAGATTGGACAATGTGATGGATTTGTGGGTGTGGGGACAAGATCATGAACTTTCAACTGGGTGGGAATCCGATGTAACTTCCAGAATTGGGATTCCACAGTATGATGCCAACGTGTCTGTCTTATTAAATTGGAACTTTAAGGATAGTTTTGCCTTGGACTCTGATTTAATTCTGCATGATATTTGGAACATTGACACATGGGCCAGTCCTGGAGGCTGGGGAAGACTGATGAGTGTCGGAGGCAGAGATGGGGCCAGGGCCTTCAAAGTCAGACAGTAGTGGGGCAGAAGAACAGCTGGAGCCTGTTCCCAGTGTGCACATGTGCAGAGTTGCCAGATAAAGGGGACAGCTAAGGAACAAGGTTCAACTTGGGAGTAAGGCCACAAGTGTACGGTGAAGGGCCCCTCCCATAGGGAATAAAAGAGGAGTGAAAGGGAGGGGGTGTTTGCAGGAGACAATTAGTTCATTCCTGCATTCTTGCCAAAGATATCGGCCTCACCATTCTCCAAGCCCAATAAAGGTCGGTAATTGTGAACTATCTTGAAAAACTGTGGGAGAGGAAAGTCTATACTGGAGAGAAATTCACTGTAAATTAAATAAAAGGGGTTTATCAGGACTCAGCTTCGTGCTGCTGGGGAAGCCTAGGTCAGAACATGTAGTCCTTGACTTACGACCATGATTGAGGTCAAAATTTCTGTTGCTAAGCAAAAATTGAATCTGCTTCATTTTATGACCTTTCCTGCCACAATTGTTAAGTGAATCACTGCAGTTGTTAAAATGGTAACAAGATTATTAAATAAACCTGGTTTCCTCATTAACTTTGATCATTAGAAAGTTGCAAAAGGTGATTACATGGCCCCGGGATACTGCAACCATCATAAATATGAGACAGTTACCAGTTACCAAGGAGAGTTACCACAGGGTTGCTGCAATGGTTGTAAGAGTGAAAAACAATTATAAGTCACCTTTTTCAGGTTCGTTGTAACTTCAAATGGCCACTAAATGAACTGTAAGCCGAGAACCACCTGTACACATAGACACCTAAGAATTTAAGGATTTGGAAAGAAGGTGGTGTAGATTTGTTCTCTATTGCCCCAGAGTGTAGGACTGGAATTAATGGGTTGAAATTACAAGGATCATGATTTAGAGCAAGGGGGGGGGGGATTCTATAGGTTCGGACCAGTTTGGGTGAACTGGTAGCTCTGAAGATCAGCTGGGAGCAAACTGGTTCGCTCCCACTAGCAAGTGGGCCTGCCTGCCCGTCCTTGCGCTTTACATACCGTATTTTTCAGAGTATAAGACGCACCAATATTTTGAAGAGGTAAATTAAAAAAAAAGTTTTCTGTGAAAAACAGGGCATGCACAGAACCTGAGAGGCCTGCAAAGTGTTCTTGGGGGCTGGGGGGGGGGGCAAAAATAAGCAAAAAACTGCCCATTTCCCACAAAAATGGGCCAGGTTTTTTTGCAAAAAACAGGGCATGCATAGGGTTTGGGAGGCTTGCAGAGTGTTCCTGGGGGTGGGGTGGGGTAAAAACTGGCCCATTTTTCACTCATTTTTGCCCTCCCCATCCCCCGGAGCACTTTTCAGGCCTCCCAAACCCTCTTATTATTATTTATTATTTATTAGTTTTGTATGCCGTCCACTCTCGGAAGACTCAGGGCGGCTTACAATAAAAAGGGAGGGGGAATATAAAAAAATAAAACAACAATTTAAAATTGCAACAACATTCATAACTTAGGATGGGGCTGGATAATTCAACAGCCCCAGGTCTGCCGGAACAGCCAGGTCTTGGTTGCTTTACGGAAGGCCAGAAGGGTAGTAAGGGTCCGGATCTCAATGGGGAGATTGTTCCAGAGGGCCGGAGCAGCTACAGAGAAGGCCCTCCCCCGGGAAGTCGCCAGCCGACATTGACCAGCAGATGGAATCCGGAGGAGGACTAGTCTGTGCGATCTTATGGGTCTCTGGGAGGTAATTGGCAGGAGGCGGTCTCTCAGGTAGCCAGGTCCAATGCCATGTAGGTCTTTAAAAGTAACGACTAGCACCTTGAAGCGTGTCCTGAGACCAATGGGAAACCAGTGCAGCTCGCGGAGGATAGGTGTAACGTGGGTGTACCTAGGTGCACCCACAATCGCTCACGCGGCTGCATTCTGGACTAATTGGAGTCTTCGAACACTCTTCTAGGGCAGCCCCATGTAGAGCGCATTACAGTAATCCAGTCTTAAGGTGACGAGGGCGTGAGTGACTATCCGAAGGGCCTCCCGGTCCAGATAGGGTCGCAATTGGTGCACCAGGTGAACCTGGGCAAAGGCCCCCCTGGTCACAGCTGACAAGTGATGTTCTAATGTCAGCTGCGGATCCAGGAGGACTCCCAAATTGCGAACCCTCTCTAAGGGGTGTATAATTTCACCCCCCAAGCTAAGAGATGGAATAACTGGACCATCCTTGGGAGGGAGCATCAATAGCCACTCAGTCTTGTCAGGATTGAGTGCAAGCTTGTCCGTTCCCATCCAGACCCTGACAGCTTCCAGGCACTGGCACATCACTTCTACCGCTTCACTGAGTTGTCACGGGGCGGACAGATACAATTGTGTATCGTCTGCATATTGATGGTATTTAATCCCATGCCAGCATAAGATCTCACCCAGTGGCTTCATGTAGATGTTAAATAGGAGGGGGGACAGGACTGAAGCCTGCGGCACCCCATAATTGAGGGGCCTAGGGGTCGACCTCTGCCCTCCGACCAACACCGACTGCAACCTGTCCGAGAGGTAGGAGGAGAACCACCGAAGAACGGTGCCTCCCACTCCCACCTCCCGCAACCGTCGCAGAAGGATACCATGGTCGATGGTATCGAAAGCCGCTGAGAGGTCAAGGAGCACTAGGATAGAGGAGTGACCCCTATCCCTGGCTCGCCAGAGATCATCGATCAGCGCGACCAAAGCAGTTTCCATGCTGTAACCAGGCCTGAAACCAGACTGAAAGGAATCCAGATAATTGGTTTCATCCAAGGACTGCCGGAGTTGAAAGGCCACCACTTTCTCAACAACCTTCCCTTCCCTCTGCATCAGTAGTGGGATTCAGCCAGTTCGCACCACTTCAGGAGAACAGGTTGTTAACTTTCTAAGCAGTCTGTTGAACTGGTTGTTGGAAGAAATCATTAGGGCAGGGAACCAGTTGTTAAATTATTTAAATCCCACCACAGCTCTGCATGTCCATTTTTGCAAAGGAGGTGAGGTTTCAGGAGGCCACAAATTCTGTATTCAGTGTATAAGATGCATCCAGATTTTCATCCTCTTTTTTAGGGGGGAAAAAGGTCCGTTTTATACTCTGAAAAATACGGTACCTTTATCTTCTGAGCTGAGTTGTGTGGCAGAGTGGATTGCTGCACCTCAGCTGTTTTGCTTCCCAAGCAGTAATCGGGAAGGTAATTAACCTCTAAACTGTGCACGGGCTCAGTAACCCGGTTGTTAAACCGGTAGGATCCCGCCCCTGATTTAGGGCAGGTGTCATGGAGAAACTTCCTATTTTATGAACTTTCAGTTAAACACTTCCATGTTGCAACTTTACAAATAATCCTGATTCTTTGCATCTGACACCCTGACTGTTTTATGCACCGAGGAAAATTTCTTTGGGTTATTTGTTTTTAAAAAAAGAACAAGCATGCAGGAAAGTCTTCTTTCAATCATTGGAACAGCTTCTATATACAGCTTTTGCAGGATCTGTATGGCTGTTTTGAAAACTATCTCCCCAGTTTCCACGTGTGTATGTACAGCTCCTTTGCTTTACTAGCAAGCAGTTCCACAGGTGGGATTATATGCACATGAACAGGCAAACTGGAACAGCTTTTGAAGCAGATGCGCACAAGTTCTGCACAAGATGTGGCTGCTTTAGTGACTGGAAAAGGAAGACATTTGCATCCCATCATTCCTCTGAAATGGGACTTTATCTTCACCATAAACATTGTAAAAAGAATGAAGTGCTTATATGCTTTATTTATATGCTTATTTAAAGCACATTATCTCACTTTCCTGCTTGCATTACGTGAAGCTCAAAGCAGCTTGGGAAAGTTCAAACTTCCTACCTTACTGGGGATTCAGGCAGGTGAACTTCATATTGTAGCTACATTTCAGAATCGCACACACTTTTAATGACTAAGTGCAGGTAGACTGGGGCACATACAGATATTATCTATATTTAAGTAACTAGGGGAATCAATGGACAGGCTTTTCTTAGAATAAATAAAACTATAGGCTAAGCAAAAAGCAAGAAAATTGGACGCTTACCTCTAGTCATTACAATTCCTGCAAGGGATCTGTGGCATGCATGGAGGGCAGCAAAGTTATCCGTCACTTCCTGAAATTTCTCTGTAATTATTTGGTACACGGAATCAGCAAATTCCTGGAAAGACATAACCAGAAACTGTTCTATTAACTTGGCATGACCAAAGCAGCGGATTGCGTCTTCAAGTTTTCTATTTTACTCATAACAGCTTGTGCCACTAACTGCAAAGAATCGCCAACTCTGCTGTTCATCTCTTTGCATTCACATGGCCTGCAAATAGGAAATACCTTCCAACTGAGGATTGGCCTGAAATAGAAGACACAGTCTTTGGAACATGGCTGCTAAGCCGCATTGCATGGCTACCAGTCTTTCCTTGATCCTACTAATGCTCTTCAGGCCGTGATTGCCTATCAAATCATTGTCAGCCGATTCAGTTTCTTTCACTTGCATTCTGACCATGATTTGTTGTCATTCAGTGCTGGTTTGAGTTTGTTTTCACTCCTTTAGATAGCAATAGCACTCACACCACTCACCAGTGGTGGGTTTTGGCTCCCGTTGTAACCAGTACACTGCAATGGGAGCCGGGCGTGCTCCCCACAATAATCCCCACAATCCAGCAATTCCTGGTCCATTCTCCAAGATCTCTGCCCCCAAGTTACCCTTAAAGTCTAAGAGCAAGGCTCAAACACACATGCCTGCACATGCTTTGTGCAACCTCCTGGCAGTGAAAGCCCACACAGCAGCATCGTTCTAGGGTCAAGACTGGATCTCAAACTTGGAAAAGTTCATGATGAATGACAAAGCAGAGGATCAAACTCCAAGGATTCTGGAGCAAAGTTCTTCTTGGAGCTGTGGAATGCCACGAAATACAACACTTGTTCCTGACAAAACTCCCTCCTTAAATGGGCATCCTCCTCCCAAGAAGTCGGGTTGCCCTGCGCTGACTCTGCCTGTCTCTGGGAGATGCATTGTTTCATCTCTGGAGCTCTGTCCCTCCCTGGTACACTGCTTGCCATTTCCATCTCCTCCCACCTTCCTTGGTGAGCCTGCGCCCTCTCTTCCTCCATGCCTACTCTTCCAAGGCCCAAAGCACCGGGGATTGCCTCGTTCCTGATGGGCCATAGTAACTGTGCCCTCCCCCTCCATTGGCCCAGCTCCATATCTTCTTCCTCCTTGGACCCGGGCTCCAATGGGGCCATGACATTCTCCCAGGAGTAATTCACTACTCAGTTCAACGTACTACACACTGTTTAGCATGGTTCTAGCTTCTGAATAGGCCTACTTAATCCAAGAGCTAGTGACTGAGATGATTTTGTGTTTCTGTTTTGATAAATTTATGATCTGACTGCTTACCAGATATCCAGGATAGGTCTAACCCAGTGATGGTGAACCCATGGCATATGTGCCAGAGGTGGCAAGCACAGCCTTCTCTGTGGGCACATGTGCTATTGCCAACTGCTCTTCTGGGATCTGTCACGCACATGCATGCTGGCCAGCTGGACAACTACTCTCTGTCGGGTTCCTGCGCGTGATGCGCACTGGAAGCTGGTCTTCCAACTGGCTGGCATGCATGCATGCACTGAGACCCAGAAGAGAGCAGCTGGTCGGTGCATATGTGCTCCAAACCAGGTGTCCAACGTGCATGCATGCGGTGGAATCCGGAAGAGCAACTGGCTGCCAGACACATGTGCACTGGCCAATTGCTCTCTTTCATGTTCCAACATGTGCATGTGCACTGGACAGTCGGTCTTCCAGCTGTCTGGCATGCATGCACGCACTGAGAACCAGAAGACAGCAGCTGTCCAGCATGCATGCACTCAACGGAACCCGGAAGAGCAACTGGCTGCCAGACACATGTGCACTGGCCAATTGCTCTCTTTCATGTTCCAACATGTGCATGTGCACTGGACAGTCGGTCTTCCAGCTGTCTGGCATGCATGCACGCACTGAGAACCAGAAGACAGCAGCTGTCCAGCATGCATGCACTCAACGGAACCCGGAAGAGCAACTGGCTGCTGTGCACATGCGCACTGGCTAGCTGCTCTCTTTTGGGTTCTGGTGCTCTGGTGTGCACGCGCTCCAGTTCTGGCACTCAGTGTCGAAAAGGTTAACCACGACAGGTCTAACCTATTGGAACTGATCTATGTCTTCCTAAACCATACACTTAAATACCGTAGTTATTTCTGGACTGTGTAGAATGGGGAAGGGGCACATGTGCCATGGCTTTGATCTGCCATGTGGCTGAGAAGATGCCATCTGCAACTTTTTAACCATCCCATTATCTTAACTTTTTTTTCCCTAAGTCCAATAGGTATAAGATCTGGCTGATACCTGCCAGCAATATGTTGAAACAAGAGCCCGAGCAGAAGAGAACAGAAGCCTATTTAAATGAAGACCTGCAATTAAACATTCCATGCTGGGAAAGCGCCTCGCCTTCTGCTCTAAGAAAAAGTAGCTAAATCAGAACACGCTTCCACTGAGTGCTTTGTCTCAAAAGATTTGTTCACATCCCGCATGCCATATGGTTTTAGAGCAGCTATAATAATAAGTGTTCATTAATTATTAAGCTTTGCTGTAAATAAATACAGAAAAGCTGTCTTGCTTTTCACAGTATAAGAAACAAGCCGTGCCTGCACAGATGTAAGTCATGCATTCTTTTTCCTGTTTGACATCTCCCCGATTCTCCCTCCTTCTCCCCATGTCTTTTTAAAGTGAATGTAATCATCACCCATTTCAGGGCACCAAGATATGATCTCTCCTTCCAGTGCATAGACAGCAGAAACACTCTTGCGAACTTATCTTCTCTATAACAGTCTCTTGTGGCTCTTAAATATGCTGTCAGGCCTGCAATTATATTCCTTTTAGAATTTTGGCCTGCCACACTTTCTCTCATTTCAATATGCTGTTTCATTAGTATAGTTGATGGGAGGGGGAATAGACAGGAGTGAGATTGTGGAATGTATTGTTTTCATTCTTTACTAGAAGCCAAGGTCATCCTTTGTTTCCGCACCAGTACACCTGACTGGAAGTAGCTGGGTGTGGATGCCAGCATGGAAGAGGAAGATTAGACCATGTGATGGATTGTGGGTGTAGGGACAAGACTGGGTGGAATTGTGATGTCATTTCCAGTACTGGGATTAACACAGATGTGCTGAAGATGTCTGCTATATTAAATTGGAACAAAAAGGATCATTTTGCCTTGGACTCTGATTTAATTCTACATGATACTATAAACCCTGACATATGCCTTATGTCATGTTCAAAAATGATCTAACTTCAACGAAACTCCAAGACAGGCATAAGCTCCCATTTACCGTGTTTTCCCCAAAATAAGACAGGGTCTTATTTTCTTTTGACCCCCGAAATGAGTGCTTGGCCTTATTTTCAGGGAGGTCTTATTATTTTTGAGGAGACAGAGAGTGTGGTCACCTCATGGTTACTGCTGTGTTGCAATATTTTGGGAGGGTTTATTTTTGGAGGAGGGCTTATTTTAACATATGCGCTCAAAAGCCCGATTGGGTTTATTATCCAGGGAGGTCTTATTTTCAGGGAAACATGGTATTAGCATAGGTATACAGGCACATCTGGGAAAACCTGAATCTGAGATTTCCAGGCTTTCCCTTAGTAAGTCAAAAGCCCAAACCCATCCCATCCCGTGACCCGACAAATGCGCGAACGTCAAAAGCGCGCCGACAAAACCGCGGGGCTAAAACCGCGATGTCAAAAGCGCGCCGACAACAGCGCACCGACAACAGCGCGCCGACAACAGCGCGCCGACAGAAGCGCAATTTAAGTTAAGGTAAGGTTTAGGGTTAGGGTTAGGGTTAGGGTTAGGGTTAGGGTTAGGGTTAGGTTTAGGGTTAGGTTTAGGGTTAGGTTTAGAGTTAGGTTTAGAGTTAGCTTTAGGGTTTGGTTTAGGGTTAGGGTTACAGCGCGCTTCTGTCGGCGCACTGTTGTCGGCGCGCTTCAGTGCTCATTCGTCGGCGCGGTTTTGTCAGTGCGGTTTTGTCACCGTGGTTTAGTCAGGCACGCTTTTGTCGTTCGTGCATTTGTGGTGGAACCTCCCATCCATCCATCAGTCCATCATATGGTCCAATCCCAATCCATCCCAATGGAAGACATCACTCCAACCACTCCTCCTTCAGGTGCAGGAATGCCATGACTTTGACGAAAAGAAGAATGGCATTATGTCTAAGTACATTCCCTCTACTAAATCCCCCTCCTGATTTCCCAAGCACAAGGATGTGGCAGCGTGAAAGCTTCCGGGCTTAATAGGACTTCCAAAGCTGATGCCTCATTTGCAACACCTTCCAACTGCTTGAACCTATTTGTTTAGTGGACTTCAATAATCTATGAAAGACACCAATGGAAAAAGGGAAAGAAATCATCATATCTATGGATATTGGCAAAGGGACATGAGGATGCAATTGGGACACAATAATTGGGGAAAATCAGGTTCCAACACCTTCAGATCTGTTCTACCTTCTCCTAAACCCATTATTTTGACCAATCAGATGAAACAATCCTTGGATTTTAGGGTAATGCTATTTTATATAATGCTGCATAGGTTTACAGCAAGATGTCAAACCTGAATTTTATTGGGATGTGGGATTGTTTGCATCCTTGGGCATTTTGACATGAATTCAGTTTGACACAGGTCAGGACTGAAGGGGAATGGAGCCTCCAGTCACATCATTCCTAACTGATCAGTCAGCCACATTCCAATGCCTGGCTAACCAGAGGAAGAGGAGGATAGATGTTGCTGAGCAATCAGCTCCCATCTTGGTTGGACAATGTGATAGTTGTTTCGGAAACTTGAGAAAACTGAAATTTATCCTGGGGTGAAAAGCCCGTGAACCAGTTAGTGCCAATATGGTGTATCTGCAGTAAATACATTTGCACTTTGAGAAAAGGAATGCTGCAGAGGTCAATTTGTGATGGATGCATTACTCGGAACCTGACATTAGACTTGAATCAGCCATGGTTCTATTTCAGAGGGTGAATCAGATGGAAGAGATCTCTTAGTTTTGTCCTTTCTGATTTTTAGTATCCCTTCAAGATAAACTGTAGAGATGACAGGGAGAAACTGTTCAGTCTGTACTGGATCTATAGCTTTT